GGTCGATCGCTCGCGTCCGTTGAGTTCATCACGCGTTTCCGAGCAATCGCGCGTGCATCCCGCCTCGGCTAATGCGACTGTATGTAAACTTGGCAGGCCTTTCTAATGTGATTGTGCAGCGCTGAGCGCCGGGGTCTCGCGTGTGAGGGCGCGTGCGCGTGCGCCTGGTAGAGAGATGTTGCGCGCGGAGGAGTCGCGCGGCACCGCTGTAATGTATTTACTCTGTAATTTGTGTCTCCTTGACAGGCCATATATCCTGTTTAAGGGTGACACCCTCCATCCCTCCATCCCTCTCCCCCTCCTCCTTCCTCCCGGCGCGAGCCTGACGGAGTCCTCTGCGCTCGCCCTGATGGATGGGCTCATCAAAGCTGCTCCCGCTGCAACACACCCCCACACACACACGCGCGCGCGCACACACACACACAAACGCGCGGCCCCCACACACCTCCAGCCACATACATACAGACACACACACACACAGACAGACCGAGTCGTGACACGCGCCGCATAAGTGCAATTCCACCCACATGCATTTGAGGAGCATGTATTTACAAAACACCCATGTGGCCACGTACACACACACACACACACACACACACACACACACACACACACACACGCGCGCGCGCGCGCGCAAACACAATCAATCCGGGGTCTGTCGGTGTCATCAAAGAAAGTGCATGCATCCATCACACACTTCGTTCTCTGCGACGATCGTCCACTGTCACCATGGTAACGCACAGTGTACCAGATAACTAGCCTCATCTTCAGAGGAATCCACACGGCGTCTCCACGCACACGCTTCCGCTTCAGGCTCATTTCCAAAGACTGCGGAGGAACGTTTGCGGAGTTTGTGCCCATTGAAGGTACTCTTGAAAGGAGCAGGAGGTCTTGAGGTTCATGTAGGTGGCACAGTAGTGAAGTTTCCTGGTTTAGATGACGCCCACTTTAGGTTTAAGTCTGAACACTGATACAGGTATTTACAGGTAGTGCATGTAAAACACAGGCACACAGAAGGTGCATATGTGAAGAGTGAGAGTGAAGGTATAAGGAGTTGTGGTGTAGTGCAAGACAAGAATCTAGATTTATGATGTCATTTATGATATGCTAATCCTGGCGGCGTGTCTGCGTTAGTCAATTAGGTGATTGCTTCCAGCAGCACTTGTCCATGTGTAAGCAACTCTACCTCATTGGCTTTACAGAGTTTTCTGTGACTACATGCTGTGAGCACTCTGATTGGATACGAGATGTGTCAGGGATCACGCAGGATACCGTCCCTCATGAGCCTACAGTAGATAACTGCTGCCAAATATCATTACAGTTTAGACCATTGTTGCAGTAAAACAGTATACAGTCCCCTCTAAAACTATTGGAATGGCAAGACCAGTTCATTTTTTATTTGTGCTGGTCACCAAAAACGTTTGGGTTTGAGATCAATAGATGAGACGGGAGTTTAGGGTTTAAGCTTTTATTTAATGGTGTTTTCATCTAGATGTGATGAAGAACATAAAGCATAGAAACTTTTCTATCAGACCACCTAATTTTTAGGCGAGCAAAAGTACAAGTACAGATATGTCTTGATGTAAATAACGCTTAATAATGATGTAAATAACGCTTAAGTCTATTTTATGGTGTACCAGGTGAATGGTCTATGAATTACACATTTTATATGTATCCAGATAAATAGAAAAACTTACCACATCATAAATGAAATTGTACATTTTTTTTCAAAACTTGGTCGCAAATCCAAGTGTACAAACCCATAGACATCACCAGCCACTGGGTTACTTCCCTGGTGATGCACTGCCAGGCCTTTAGTGCAGCTGTCTTCACTCCCTGCTTGTTCTGGGGCCATTTTGCCTTCAGTTTTGCCTTCAGCAAAGAAAATGCAGCTCTGTTGGATTCAACTCAGGTGATTGACGTGGCCATTGCAAAACATTTAACTTTGTTTGTCTTATAAAAGTCTTGGGTTGCTTTCAAAGTTTGCTTTGGGTCACTGTCCATCTGCACTGTCAACCACCTCTAATGAATTGTGATGCATTTGGCTGACTGAATGTGAGCAATTTGCAATTCATCCTGCTGCTTTTATCAGCAGTATCATCATCAATAAATACAAGAGAACCTGGTTTGTTGGCAGTCATAAATGCCTACGCCATATTTTGAGGTGGTATAATTTGGATTCGTCTCTTGTTTCATACTCTACTCTTCCCATCATTCTGGAACAAGTTGATTTTTGACTCATTAGTGCATAGGATGATTTTATTTTTGTAGATATTCCTCTGTATTTATTTTTGTGAAGTCTTCTCTTGGTTGTTGACTTTGACACAGATACACTGCATCAGAAAAGTATTCACACTTTTCCCACATTTTGTGATGTTACAGCCTTATTCCAAAATGGATTCAATTCTTTATTTTCCTCAAAATTCTACAAAAAATACCCCATAATGACAATGTGAAAGAACTTTGTTTGAAATCTTTGCAAATTTATTAAAAATAAAAAAATAAAAAAACAAAAAAGGCACATGTACATAAGTATTCACAGCCTTTGCCATCACACTCAAAATTGAGTTCAGGTGCATCCTGTTTCCACTGATCATCCTTGAGATGAAGCCATACAACTTGATTGGAGTCCATCTGTGGTAAATTCATTTGATTGGACATGATTTGGAAAGGCACACACTTGTCTATATAAGGTCCCACAGTTAACAATGCATGTCAGAGCACAAACCAAGCCATGAAGTCCAAGAAATTGTCTGTAGACCTCTGAAACAGGATTGTATCAAGGCACCGATCTGGGGAAGGGCACAGAAACATTTCTGCAGCATTGAAGGTCCCAATGAGCACAGTGGCCTCCATCATCCATAAATGGAGAAGTCTGGAACCAGCAGGACTCTTCCTAGAGCTGGCCGCCCAGCCAAACTGAGTGATTGAGGGAGAAGGGCCTTAGTCAGGGAGGCTACCAAATACCCGCTGGTCACTCTGACAGAGTGTCTCTGTGGAGAGAGGAGAAACCTCCAGAAGAACAACCATCTCTGCAGCACTCCACCAATCAGGCCTGTATTGTAGAGTGGCCAGACGGAAGCCACAGCCCGCCTGAAGTTTGCCAAAAAGCACCTGAAGGACTGAAGGACAAAATTCTCTGGTCTGATGTAACAAAGAACTCTTTGGCCTGAATGGCAGGCGTCATGTCTGGAGGAATCCAGGCATCAGTCATCACCTGGCCAATACCATCCCTACAGTGAAGCATGGTGGTGGCAGCATCATGCTGTGGGGATGTTTTTCAGCAGCAGGAACTGGGAGACTAGTCAGGATCGAGGGAAAGATGAATGCAATGTACAGAGGCCTCCTTGATGAAAACCTACTCCAGAGTGCTCTGGACCTCAGACTGGGGAGAAAGTTCATCTTCCAACAGGACAAAGACCCTAACCACACAGCCAAGATAACAAAGGAGTGGATAACTGAAAAGAAGAATGGGAGAAACTTGTAGTATCATACTCAAAAAGACTTGAGGCTGTAATTGGTGCCAAAGGTGCTTCAATAAAGTATTGAGCAAAGGCTGTGGATACTTATGTACATGTGCTTTTTTTTTTTTTTTTTAAATTTGCAAAGATTTCAAACAAAGTTCTTTCACATTGTCATTATGGGGTATGGTTTGTAGAATTTTGAGGAAAATAATGAATTGAATCCATTTTGGAATAAGGCTGTAACATCACAAAATGTGGGAAAAGTGAAGCGCTGTGAATACTTTCCAGATGCACTGATGAACCTCCTGGATGGTGTTCTTGATCTGCCCAACTGTTGTGAAGGGGTTTTTCTTCACCAGGGAATGAATTGCTGTAATCCCACAACAGACATTTAGGTGTTCCATAGCTCACCAGTGCAATCTTTTTTTTTTTTTTTGGAAGTATGTAGTTGATTTGGCCACATCTGATGTTTTTTGCTTTTTCTCTGAAGAGTTTGTTTAGATTTTTTTTAAGCCAATTAAGCTTCACTGGCTTTAAGAGCTCTTTAGATTTCATATTGTCGAGTTAACAGCAACAGATTCAAAATGCCAATGCCTTGATTGAAATCAGCTGTAGACCTTTTATCTGTTTAACACACAGCTGGCCATGGAACAGCTGGGCATCCAAATGTCTAAATACTTTTTGTCCCCTCAGAAAAAGGTCTGTAATTCTTACACCATTCTTCCAAATTGGAAGTCAATGTCTTCAAATTAATGCTAAAAGTCTGCACTTTGAAGGTGTATTAATTATTTAATTTCAGACTCCAATAGACTGTGGTGGACAGCTGAAAATATAATAACTTTGTCAAAATATGAAATATAACCTAAAAGATAGAAACTATATTTGGACCAGTAACTATGCTTCATCATTCCAGTCCATCATTGATTATTTTCCTATAACAGCACAACACTGAGTGTTTAGTTCCTCGTACTCATAAAATACAAACACATTCAAAAACATAGAACAATTCATCCTTGACGGCATTTTGTTGTTAGCCTCGTTGTTAGCCTCGTTGTTCTTTTTTTTTCACAGAATTTGTTGTTGTGTTGTGTCTCGTTGTGCTGATTACATGCAAACTAGATGATTAGGCAATGAGCGGGCTTCCCCAAGATAATTTTTGTAATCAATACAACCATGAATAGCCCAAATTTGGACGAAATTGCTTGCTGCGTCTCATTAAACTTGTCTGTCTTTTATGGGCGAACCTGAAATGTAAATGAAGATTTAAGTGTTTGGGGCAAAAAATGGTCTCATCGCCAGTTTTTGTGGTGCACTGCACACATGGGACCCGATTACTTCTGTCATTAATCTCTGCTCTGTCTGTTTTCAGGGAGAGACCCGTGTTTGTTTTCAGGTGTTTAAATCAAAGATGGATGAAAATAGCCGGAAGCCTCTGATTAAGAGACTGACCACACAAAATGATTACTTGTCGTTCAGATTATGTCGGTCGTGATAGATATTTGGAAATATATTTCAGATTTTGACGTCGACGGAGGGTGCATGGTGGCTTAGTGGTTAGCGTGTTTGCCTCACACCAAACATGGGGTTGGGGGTTCGATTCCCAGCTATACCCTGCCTCGGTGGTTTCCTTCAGGTAGTCCAGTTTCCTCCCCAGTCAAGACATGTGTTGATTGGCATTTCCACATTGTTCATATTGTGTGACTGTGAGTGTGTGTGATTGTGCTCTGCAATGGTTTGGCACCCCGTCCATGGTATGCCCTGCGTTGTGCCCCGAGACTCCCGGATAGACTCCCGGCTCCCCGTGACCCTGTGTAGGTCAAGAGGTACAGAAAACTGATGGACGGACGGATTTTCTCATGAAGGGCAGAATAAATCAGGCTAAACATGTTGTCGTGCACGGGCAGCATTAGTGTACACTGTAAGGATGTTTACACCCTCACTAATTCAAAATGATTAATGACAAATGACCAAACTGCACTGGCAGGGTTTCATGTTTACTCCACAGGAAGAGTAAGCAAGAAAGCACTGTGTGTGTGTGTGTCTTCAGTAAATTTGCTTGTTGACACAGTATTAAATCCATTCACACGTTGCCTCCTACACAGAAATTATCCAAATCTACTGACTGTCAAAAGTTCCAATTTGCTCTTACAAATGAGCTGTTTTCAGGTGAAGAATATAAACTAAAACTGCTTAGCATGAGAGAAAAAAAATAGAAATGTGCTAATGTGTTCATACGCTGGGAAAAAAAACCCAAACTACATAATACATGTTTTCATAACTTATAGCTTGGACTATATCAGCACCTTGCTGGCTGGCTGCCAAGGTAACAAGATTTCAGCTTGTTCAGTAATCAACGTCCTCTCCAGGAAAGAATAGTGTCAGCAAATTATTGCAGGCTTATTCAAGCTACGTTGCTGGTTGTCTGGGTCTGTTAACTTCCAGATGAACCATACAGTTCAGTTTTGTGTTGTTTAAAGCTGTGGACGCTTCTAGCCCTGGTGTATCTTGCTGATCTCTTGAAGCAGCATAACCATCTCTGAAGCTGGACTGCAGTTAGCTCAAACAGTTAAGATGTATTTTTTTGCTTCTTCTTCTTCTTCTCCTTCTTCTTGGCTGTACTACACTTTCAGTTATATTGTAGCTCCACAGGTGATTTTTACACTTTACAAACACAAATTGTTCAAGAGAAGAACGATGATGACGCTTAGATACACACGGGACATTCCACCGATACAGTACTGTTTTTTATTTATTTTTAAGTCCCACCATAAATTTTCAAAGGATACGTGCACAGAATAGAAGGAAAACAACAGCTCTATAAATTGCAGTTGTTCTGTTGCAAAATTCAATTTGTATTACACCTTGTTGTCAATCATATTGCATGGCAATTATAATAATCAAATAATTGCGTTTCTTTTTTTTTTCCATTGTAGAGTCAAATTATACATTATACTTGTTATTTAAGGGATAAAACAGTCATTTGCGTAAGTTGCGTAATTCAAGTAATGATAGTAATACATTTTAGCCAACTCCAGTTTTCTCCCCCAGTCCAAAGACATGCATGGTAGGTTGATTGGCGTGTCTAAAGTGTCCGTAGTTTATGAATGGGTGTGTGAGTGTGTATGTGATTGTGCCCTGCGATGGATTGGCACCCTGTCCAGGGTGTACCCCGCCTCATGCCCGATGCTCCCTGGGATAGGCTCCAGGTTCCCTGTGACCCTGAAAAAGAGTAAGCAGTCAAAGATGAATGGATGGATGGATATTTAAGCCATGTCTTGCAATGTATGTGCAACCCTGTTACCGAAACCCATTTAACCATTTTAAATCAAAAGTCAGATGATAAACAGGAAGTTTCATCATCAAGACCCTTTTTAACAGCATGGCTGAGAGAAAAGTACGTTGACATATTTTTCAAATACTCATCAAAAACAACTCAACTTCATTACTAATGTTATAGCTATGAGGAATATTCATTGAAAGTTTGTGAACCCTTTAGAATTTTCTGCATTTCTCAATAAATACGACCTAAAACATCATCAGATTTTCGCACGAGTCCTAAAAGTTGATAAAGACAACCCTGTGTAAACAAATCAGCAAAATATTGTACTTGGTCATTTATTTATTTATCAAAATTAAATAGATTTAATACTGCATATCTGTGAGGGGTAAAAGTATGTGAAGGTTTGATTTCAGTATGTGGTGTGACCTCCTTGTGCTGCAATAACTGTAACTTAATGATTGGGGTAACTGCTGATCAGTCCTGCACGTCGGCTTGGAGGAATTTTGATCCCGTTCCTCAGTACAGAACAGCTCCAACTCTGGGATGTCGGTGGGTTTCCTCGCATGAACTCCTTGCTTCAGGTTCTTCCACAACATTGCTATTGGATTAAGGTCAGGTCTTTGACTTGGCCATACCAAAACATTAACTTTATTCTTCTTTAACCATTCTTCGACTCGTGTGTTTAGGGTTGTTGTCTTGCTACAATTCTCTGTATTTTTTGTAAAACAAACAAACAAAAAGTGTTTATTTATTCTTTTCATTATGGTGAATATTAGCCTGGATCTTCAATCCTTAAGTAGATTCTTGAAGATATATATTAATACTCTTATGGTGGAATTTCCCTCCCTCATAATGGTAAACATTGGACTAAACTAAAGGTAAATTTTAACTAATCAATCCTATTTGAAAAACAGTTATTTGGGAGGGAAAAATCCATCCTGTATAAATCACCAGTGGCTAGTACATTTTCTCAAACTGACCTCTAGTAAATTATCTATAAAACTCTAGCATATTGGACACACACTTATTCTCATTAATTATGTATCCCACTTTAAAGATCTCCACCAGCATTTTTGACAAATCTGAGTCAGCAAATTTTCATTCCCAGTCTCTCCAAGCAACTCCGGAAGACCATAAAGACAAGTTTTCAAAAGTTCACCAACTGCACAAGAGGTCCTGAGGCTGTGCGCTTTCATTCACCTGTCAGTAGAAACAGCAGCCTTGTCCATGATTCATGTGTGAGGATTGAGATGTGGTGGTAATTGGTGCACTGAAGGGCTGGAGACTCATCCTGTGCAGAAAACTGTTGGCAAACGTTGTGTTTTTCCACACAAAAACGCGTAAAAATTATGCGGAATAATGAAAACGCCATCCCAAACCAATATATCCATCCCCTCATTCCCAAACATCAAGTCATGTCAGCGTGAATACGTCAGCGTCTTCAGATGGTTAATGTATTCCTGCATCTCCAGGACCACACACTAGCTGGCTGGAAGCGAAACAATGATTACCACCTTAAAAATGTAGCGGAATCGGAAAATGAAGCTGTGGAATCGATTATTTCTTCTCACACCAGGTATCCAGCTGGGATGATTGAAGACTGAATGCGAGGTCAGGCCGAGAGCTATGACATCCAGTGTGCGTCGAGGTTTTTCTCCGAACGCCACCGAGCCACTGAAGTAGTTTCTCTCGTTTTTGCTCATTACAGACAGCTGGCATTATCGTCTCGAGTCCTACTTTGTCTGGGTGGTTAATAAATAATTCGGTGCAGGACATCTACCAATCTTTTATTTACACTCCCGAAAGCGATGGTGCACTCGCAGGTTTAAGTGGCACACGAGAATGCCGAAAACAACACAAATGGATGCTAAAGGGCGAGCATCGAACGAAGAGTGCCGAGCTAAATGGCCCTCTTTAAAACTTCAGAACTCTCCGAGCTCATTTCGATGTCTATAAAGAATGCTCACACCATATTTTAGGCACTTAGGGCTCATTAAAAATTTCCCAGAGTGTTCCTGAGTAGCTAAGGAGTGTGAGATGTGGTTGTCCTTTTTAGATCGTATGTAAGATCACATGTTTCCTCCTGTCTATAAAATCATTTGTTTTTGTTTGTTTTTTTGGTTGATTGTGTTTTTTGTGCATTTTTCTATAAAAAAAAACAAAACGAAACAAAACTAGCTAACGTTTCCAGTTCAGCCCCTTAAGGATGACAGTGAAAAGGCGCTATAATTCTGTAAAGAGCTAAAAGTGTTGCAGGAATGTGAAATTAGCAGCACATTGAAGACTTCCACCCTTGCGCTATGGGTGACTACATGCATCAGCTTGAAATTGAAGAACCACTCCAATGAGCAGCTGGTTCACTCACTCACCAGTGTGTCATGAAATGTTACTCCAAGCAGAATTTATAGACCTGCTTTATGGATTTTTTTCAAGCTTGGTCCACCAAGAGAGACGAGCAGCTTTCATTACAAACAGAGATGCCATCATGGTCCCTTTCCTTTAATCCCAGTTTTGAATTCCAAATGTCCCCCCTCAATCACTCAGAAGTGTACATGAAGTAGCAACAAGTGGCAAACACGACCCAAGTGTTCAGTCATAATACAGTTTCCTGTGGTAACAAGTAGTACTGTGTATTTCCCTTCATAGTATGGAATGCCACGTGCTGTAATCGTTCCGTTATAGCAGCTATAAACAGCCGTTCGCTCACCAGCCTCTCTTGTCTTTCCTCCCTTGAAGTTAATAAGACAATAAATAAACAAATAAACAAATAAATAAATAAGCAACATCAGGTTACAGAGAAACCACAAAGCATAAACTCCTCTGTCCTGAAGACGTCGGGAAAACTCAACGGAAAATTCCCCCATGTTTACTCCGACTGTTACCCAGCGCTGACACTGGAGACTCCTTCCGTCAATGTTTTTGAGTTTTGATTCATTTGTCCCTGTGAACGAACTGTCACTATAGAAACGATACAGTATTAGAAAGAGCGCGTTAATGTAAAGCACTTCATGTCAGATGTAGATGGAAAGTCAACATAATCATCTTAAAGAAATCAAAAACAAAAAACAAACTGTTTTAGCCAGTTCTCTGCGATCACGAAGCTGCCAGCTTCCTACACAACAATTCCGCCGTGAGATTCACTCCCTCCCATGCCTCTAAGGGGGTCACCGAACAAACTTCACTCGAGTTAATAACGTATTAAAACAGCAGTTAAGATACCAACAGGGATTCGAGTGAGCGAGAAATGGTGAAGGAGGTGTTAAAAACCGTGCTGGAAGGCAGCCCGGGTCACTTAATGTTCATGGAGGAATTTAAAAAAAACAGCATTTATT